CCGCCGTTTTATGTGACCAAACCATCTAAGGCGAGTCTTTCTAATCTTATCTTCCATTGGCACTAATCCAACCTTTTTCACGTATATGCTCATTTCGTATCATATCTATAAGGGTAAAGCCACTCATCCACCTGAGCATCCTTTTCTCTGCAACACTTAACTTAGTATTATGCTTCTCTTTTAATGGCCAACATTCAACACCATAAAGTAAAACTATAGCATGTGTCATACTAAATGGCGCATTCAATAGAATTCTCCAAACAGTATGGTGCATTCCATTGAATGCACCAAATTGTTTGGCTTATTCTAAATACGTCAAACAGTTTGGTGCATTCTTTCAAATGCACTAATTTATTTAGCTTTTTGCTCTTTTTTAAAATTTAAAATTTATATGCTCCTATTGCTAATAATATATGTTATGCATGTTCTTTAAAAAATTCATTTAAAAAAAATTACACTAAGATTAGTGCTATTTTTAGATGTCATGGGCAATACTATTCTCAAAGAAAATCTAGGTCATTCAAACTCATCCTGATTCAGAAAACTTCAAAATATCATTGCTTAGTTTTTTATTAAATATTAATGAGTTGTTTTTAAGTAATTAAACTAAATTATTAAAATTTTCATATTATAATTTTATATTAAAGATAGTATGCATGAATATACCTCAAAGCCTCTGAATCATATAGATGAGTTACTCACATCAAATTTTCTGCGATGTCTAGGGTTTTCTCTTGCGGCGCCTTCGTTCGGGTAAACTCGTCTCTTCTTCCTTAATCCTTCTTTTTTCTCTCATTTTTCTTCCTAAAAACCAGCATGGTTGCTCATCGCTTGTGTGACCCCAATTTTTTGGATGTAAAACACAAATCGCGATCTTTTCGTGAGTGAGGTTTTGTCTGGTGAGTCGGCTTCTCCGACGTTTCGTCCACTCAAACCTTCTTCTCGTCATGGTTTGCCATCTTTGTTGATTTCAGAAGATGAAATGAGTTCTCTTGTTTTCCATTTGAGTTTGCTTTAGTTGGGAAGTTCCCTACTCGTTGCCCCCCACTCGATATCATTCGTAAATTTTTTCTGAAAGTGAATTTGATTGGTGAATTTTTTGTTACTTTATTGAACCCTAAGAATATTTTGATTAAACTGAGAAATGATTTGGTTTACTGTCGGGTGCTCTCCTATCATTCTTATTTTGTCAACAACTGCTATATGAAGCTTTTCAAGTGGTCTCCTCATTATATATATATGTATGAGTTACCAAGATAGATATCTTACTCTATTACATGTATGGTGCATAAAATATGATTTTTATTATCTTTAAAATATAATATGTTGGCTTATATAAATTAGAAATAAAGTTTCGAATTTTTTATTATATATGATTAATTAAAATAGGGTTTTAGCTAAAATGTAGACACTTGCGGAGCTCCGATGGGAGCCCCAATGGCCCATCTACCAATAAAAGCCCATGGTTTGGAAGGGAACTATGGGCTTCCATAACCTTTTAGAAAGCATTAAAGGAACACGATTTTGAGGCATGAACATAAACCTGTAGCTTAGAGAAATAGCTCGTTATCCATTGGGACATATAAAGTAATACTTTACATTTTTACTTTTTCTTAATTTAAATTATAACTAAATTTAAAAAAAAAAAGTCTAATTTCATAATTTCTTGTCTTGGTTTGAATTTTGCAAAAATAAAATTCATTTATATAAGAAAATTATGTGTAAGTTATAATTTTTTTTATAAAATGAATATCAAAATATTTAAAGTGAAATAAAATAATAATAAAGTTATGTTTAATATAACTAATAGAATATAAAATATATAATTTAATAATTTATTGAAAAATATATATTAGTATCAAAATATTAGTTCATCATGAATTAATTAAATAAAAAGGTGAAAAAATCACTCAAAACACTCAAGAGTATTTTGAAAATCATCAACTTGTACCCCATTATTTTCTTTTATTTTTTGCTCCACCTTTGATGATGACAATTGTAGTTCATGCTGGAAAGAGTTGAGAGGTGAAGTGCAAGAATATATATATAGAAACTTTCAAGAACAAATTCAGGATCATATGAATTTCAATTTAAATAAACTTATATACAAACTAAATGTCTTAGTAAAATGAACTTATTGAAATAGCAATTATCAAACTCAACATCAAATAAGTATAAATCAAGCACTTTAAGCATAAACAGAAACTTTGAGACATTAATTGGATGATCAAATCATCCTCAAATCTTATATGTTGATATGCAGATCAAGTATCTTGACAAGACAGATCAAATGAACCTAAAATGGCTAAATTCTAAATCCATTAAGCCATAAACGGTAAAAGAATGATATATAATCAGGATGATTTATGCAATCCATTTGATTTGAGATTCAAACTAAATTTATTAAAATATCACTCTGAGAAATTTATAAATAGACCCACACTTTTGTATAAAGATGGCCTCTAGCTGAACATTCAAGTGAGCTCAAAAGTTTAATGAATATGGAAGGTCTACAAGAGCATCACCGTCTGACAACCGCCTGACCACCACAACCAGACCATCAATCCACTATCGCCTCAAGACCTCTACCATCATCGAATTGATGTCATTCGATCACTATCATTTGATCACCATCACCTAATCTCTAGCATCTGACATTGATTAGTGAACTCAACTACAATCTTCTAATAATTATTGCCCAAGTATAGTGTGTTGAAATCTAGAAGCACAACCTAGTATTTTGATAATTACAAATATTATTTATTTGATCATTTACTATTCTATGTTTTATATATATTGCTTATTTCTTTTGTGTGCAATTAATATTTAAGGTACAACAAACACATAGTTGGAATAAGGAAGCAGACTCAAGAAAGTGCGGCATTGAAGTCTAGTTCATTTGTAACAAAAGTCGATAATTTTATTTTTCTTGAGTCATTTATGTAATTAGGTGTATATTGGCAAGACAATCGAGCACACACTCATAAGAGGGACGAAAATTGAGTACTTGAATTCTTTGTTAAATCTTATTGTATAATCTGTTAATTGAGAATTTAATTAAAATATTTAATTAAATTAATAAAATAAATTAACAACAAAACTAATCATATTGTTCATCATGCAATCATACAGAACGATCAGTTATTTTGATACAATCCCGTTTTTGAATCTATGTTACCAAAATTAGACAAATTTGAATTTTAAAATTTAAATTAATTGTACTATATGAAAATTTTGTATTATATAATTATTGATGAATGTTGCCTAATTTTATTCGTAGATTAAAGAATCAAATCTTAATTAAATTTTGTAGTATACAATACAAATCGTATTGTCCAATTTAACAGAACCTTCACTAGATGAATAGTTCTTCCTGGAGGAGCCCTCATATGATATAACTAATCACATTGTACGACTAAATATCTTATAAGATGATGAAATGGGAGTTGAACTAATCGGACAGTACGAATATAGCATTGTATAGTACACTCATAAGTATTAAATTGAAAATTAGGATTTTATATAAATAGCCCATTTTAATCACTTCACATAAGATCCAAGAGGTTATGTCTAGTTGTTAGAGACATTTTTCTAGTGTGAGATAGCCTCGGAGAGAGAGAGGTGCCTTCTTGCTTGAGAGAAAGTCCAAATCAATTAGAAGATCTAGAAGGCGAGGTTAAGAGAGTATTTCCTTGGAGTCAAGGGTGTTAGGGAGTCACACGGTAGTCCTTATCAGTCGGCATTTTGGGCCTTCGATATTCTAGGTTATGGTTGTGAAGTCTTGGAGAGGAGCTCTATGGAAGAAGTCTTTAGGAGAAATATTTTAATAGCCGAGAAGTCTAGAGGAGCAAGATCTCTACCTTTGCGATGAGCAGGAGGGAGTGACATCTTATATGTTGCGGAGAGCAAATGGAGGGTTCCGCATCTCTGCTGTTGTGATGAGTAGAAGGAAGGAGCAACATCTCCATAGTGCCAAGAGGTTGAAGGAGGGAAACTTT